AACCCGGAAAGACATGATCTGCCGCCCATGCCTCTTCCAACATGAAGCCGAGGTTGTGTTCTCTGCGGAGTATGTGCTCAGACTGGCTCTTTGTCACACCGACTCGCGCTTCGGGGCCAGTTATCTAGGCCGGACCTTCTACTATGCGGCCACTTAGCGATATTAGTCGCCTTTTTTAATTTTTACTTGAGTGTTCGCTTGAGTGCTGCAGAACTGCAGAAGCACTACAGTCCATACAGGCAGATTCGAAGCTGTAGCTTCACAATCTGCGCAAGCCGCAAGATTCAGTTGTAGTGTTGCCTCCGCATATACGTAGCCGGCTCGAAAGCTGTAAGACTTTGGCGATGTACTTATGCCTGATTAGCTCGACTCCTGCCCTGCTCCGCTCTGTTTGCCACGTGCTGGCTCCTATGCTGTCGTCATGTCCAGCTGCCACGCACGAACAAGAAGGACATTTGCGAAGCGCACAGCCGTAAACTCACTGAGAAGCCCAGGTGCAGCCGCTGAACATAATCGATGTGGCTGCGGTGGCGCCTTTTTACGTAAACCTCTTCATCGATGGCGAGGAAATCGGTGCGGCATTCCGCACCGCGACAGTGTTAAGGGTTGAGGCTAGCCGTTGCCTTGCATGCGTGCCGACGCGCACTAAAACATAGGCAGGTAAGCAAGCATGCAGGACGGATTGGGCTCCTTTTAAAATTTACAGGTCTTTTCGTATCTGAAGGCAAGTCTACAGTCACAGCCAGACTGGCTCCGTGGATGCATGGCTGTTTCAGGAACCTTTGCTTTGGAGGTGACGCAGCCGGTTTCTGCAAACTTCGGCTCGTTATTCATGCAGGTTGAGTTTTCGGAAAATACAGCAGCATCTGAGCACTCTTGGGGTGCTATGTAATCATGGCACGCTTCATCACGAAGCTTGATCCTGGTAGGTTCATCCTCCCTAAAACGCCCCAAACCTATTATAACTATTCAATCCAATTGCCGAACCTGGAGACAACTTTCACACCCACGATTGCCCCCCCCTTGCCAAATTCCCTTATGCAGAACACATACACAGATGCCTGCTTGAGAGTATTGGGCTCTGTCGGTTCATCTCCTAGGATAACCGTGCCGGCAAAGCCAGGCATGCTCCGGCTCATGAGGGTGTGTCGGCTGCTGAAGCTGGCGAAGCATCACCAAGGCAAGATTTGCATGACATGGAAGTTTGACAATCGACAGGTGCCCAGTCCTTGCGCAGAGTTACGTGTTTGGATTCGATCCCTTCCGATCGTCGATTTGGGGACTTCTTGCTCAACCTCTGCAAATTAGCTTTCTGATCCCACTCGATGAAGGCATGATGGTGTGTCGCGGCCTCGGTGTGCAGTTTTGAAAGACTGCAGTCCACAGATTTTCGATCGCAGCTCAAAGCCGCACGTAAATTCTCAGCTTCCGTCCATCACCTGAACACTCTTATGTGCAGATTCGGTGGAGAACCCTACAATGCTTTGCTTGCGATGAGGGGAGCCCCTGTCTTCTCAACGAGCCACACATGTTCTTTGACAGAAAGCCTCATCCAACTGGAGATCGAATCATCACACTTTGAGAATCCCGCGACGCCATTCCAGGTGCTGAAGCGTTGGTCAACAGCGGACTGCCTTTAGCACTGCTTCTGGTCGTTGTGTTTTTAAGGTTTGCATATCCTGAACTTGAGTCGAACTTGAGCTTCTGGTTCATACCTACAGTCTTTTCAGGCGACGGGGATGAGGTGCTGCGGTGAAGGGTTCAGATTTTATGACCTCGATTAACAGGCAGGTTGCCTCACAACACGCCAGGCCCCCGAATGGTAAGTGGGTTCAGGGCCGAGGATATTGAACGGACAGAGGTTCTCGATAGAAGTCTTTGATCGTGGTAGTTGCCTTTTGTAAGTGCAACTGCAATCATTGCAGCTCAGCTCAGGCTGTTCTTTTACGACGTGCTCGTCGGTGCACCCGTTTGCAAAAAGACCTTGTTAGATGTGGTCAGACGGTCAGTGCTATAGATCTCGGAAGAAGATGTCGTAGGATTTCAGAACGAGAGAAATTATAGGGCTAACGCAGGATTTGCATGGCATGGCCCAGCCGAAAGCGAGCTGTGAAAACGTGACCCTGCTAGGTACCATCTTTGCGACGCTGATACACACGATGGAAGGCAGGACCTTCTCAAGACCCTCCCCTCACAGTCAGAATTGTGCAAGCCGTTCTATCGCTGCTTAGCAACTCATGCGCTACCTACACTTACACGCACTCGGAAGACACCTTTTGCAGAGAGAAGCGGTGAGGCAGCAGATATTCAGTGGATGAAAGATGGACCCAGCCGCAATTGGATCCGGCGACCGGCAGCTTGTCATGGCTGGTTGCTTTGCCTGGGGTGTCGTGGGGTCCAGTTTCTGGGTGTTGCAGATCGTGAAATCGCGCAGGCATCTCCAAAAGGGATACATGTGCGGGAGCATAACCTGTACTCAGAGTCGGCTCAGCTTGCTGTTATTTGTATGCCGGCTCACCATCCGGAGCATGGACATTTGAGCTGCTGAGATCCATTACATAAATAGCTCTAGGTGTTCCCGGACCAGCAGTCAAGAAGGAGATTCAACTTAGGCCCAAGGCAGTCTCGGACCCTTTGCTTCTGTTCCGGTGCTCCCTGAATTCAACCTGGCTTCCAGTGGAGCCCGTTTCCGGAAAGTCGACGGATCTTCCTCGAAGTAGGTGACCCTGGTGCTCTGAGGTCTTTTGATCAATGCCACGTATCCGACAGGCCATCGGGTCGTGTTTTCCGCTGGCGAGAATTGCCTGCACTGCAGCCTGTCGCCTCTCTGCACAGAGCAGAGGGAGAGCTTGCATGCCGCTTGCAGGTACCTTTGTGCGGCCAGACAAGTGGCATGAGGCGGGTAAGGATGTAGCATGAGAGGGAGCAGCTGAGCTGAGCTTCCTTATGCTGGTGCTTCCCGAGCTTGCAACCCATCAAACGCCGAATCATGTTTACATTGCTGCAGAAATCCATAGCTGACCACGGCTTAGGATCAACCATGATCAACCAAACACACAGTGCATATATAACTGTGTATATTATATACACGCGCAAATCTATAATGGACATAATCGAGAGCCTCCGCTGCTTTGCAAATCTTGATGCCGAATGACTGTCCTGGCGAGGGTGATGAACCCACACCGTTCACCTCAATCCCTGCCGCGCTGTGGTGGCTTGTTTGCATGCTGGGGGGTTTTCAATAGCTGTTCCCTGGCGAAATGTTAACGTTGGTCTTCTGTTGTACTTCTGTTCGAAACGTGAATCTTGTGAAGGCGGGAGTGTTTGCTCTTGCTCCTTGGGTTGTATCTGCTCGTTCGAGATCTACAGGTTTCATGTTCCGCAGTTCTCTCGCAGTTTCAGGTCTATAATTAGATGCTCCATGGCTAGCCTTCGATAAGTGAGCCTTCACCGAGGTGGGTCTTCACCACCACCACGACAGTGGGTTATGGTGATATGGCTCCGACGACGTTTCTTGGGCAATCGCTCGGCTCTTCGGCTCATAAATCATGTTCTGAGTGGTGATCAGCTTCTGATGGCACTTAGGGGAGCTGGAGCTTGTTGGAAGGCATTGATGTAATGAGGGGCTAACGCTAGGACGTGATATGCTACTGCAACGTGCGCTACCGAATTGTACAGGGAGCAGGCGCAAAAATGGTAAGCTTATATGTTTATGGAGATTCGCTCCGCCCCTGTTTATGGTGGTGTCTTTCGTATTCTACAGGTAATATGCTTCGGGACTGATCCCTTGCACCCTTCTGCAACATGCTGACCGTGAAGGAATTCCATCCACTGCTCATCTGTAGATGATCGCACAGGTGTGCTGGTTTTCTACTTTGGCATCATCCTCCTGGCCCTGCCCATAAGCTGCTTGACTTGCCAGCCCAGCAGCTTTCTTGGTGATCTTCGTGACTGTTCTCTTGCCTTCGGAAGACTGCTGTGCACCAATGCAGCTGCCATGCTGCGCCAAGCTTCGCCAGCTTCTGTTGGTGCTAGTCTTGCCAAGAAGGTTCATCGGTGAGTTGCACGCTTCAGCTATTATATACTTATTCAGTAACATCCTGCTTTCCCCTATTGCAGTTTGCAAATCGTTGGGGCATGATTCAGTTTAAGTGTTCAAGAAGACCATGGCTGACTTTGCCGCACTTCCGGCTTTAAGCTTGCAACATCTGATGCTGCAAGCTGGTGCGGGCGTGACAGTTCATTCTTTAAGCCGAACAGCCACAAACCTTCTAGCCTCTCAGAAGCCGGCCCAAAGGAGCCCCTAAACGAACCTAGAACTCGTAAGGCGTCATCAGCTCGAACTTCGAGCACGCCTATGAACGGCAGCAGGTCAGAGCTGGCTATCAGCGTATTCCAGGGTCCAGACCCGGACATGGTCACGCCATGGGAGTTTTAGACATCGGTCACACAGCTATAACATGGTCGCATACGGTTCGGGTAGTCGCGGTTACTCGTACGAGCTTCACAACGGACATAGCTGGCGCGAGGTCGTTTAGTTTCCTTGTTCGTTCCCGTTCCTGGTTTGGCTGCACTTCAGAACACCTCCCGCTCAGCACTACCCCGAAGCCGTGAACTCTTGCTCTCACTTCCAGCCAAATCTTGTCTTCGGGAGTTCAGTTGGCTGACGATAGGATAGAAGAGGTCTAAAATGCTCCGGGCTTAGCAGGTCTCTGCAAATGCCATTCAACTTCTGCTTGTCGTCGAGCATCTCGTAGCAACACGGGATAGAATCCTGAATCCCAAACTCTTACACACACTGTGTTGCCTTCTGCGCTAGTATGCGTGATTCCTATAGTCCAACGCTTCAAGGCTGTGTCTGGGATTTTTTTCGCATCGGGATATCTTGCAGGCGTGCTAGCCAGTCTTGACACCCGAAGCTTGGGTTGAGCCTGTGTTCCCCTGTTTTCGTCGATGTTGTGCCGGTTCGATCAAGCACCAATTAAGCTGCCCTGTCTCAGATGTTGCGGCGGAAGAAGCACCACACCCACATTTCTCGGAGCTCGTTTATGACGCAGATTGCCTCAAACTCGTTGAGGCCTTCTGAGTTCCTTGACAGCAACAGCCACGGAAGCCAGCGACGGTTGTGCATCTGGCTTCTGCATCGGGTCAAGATGGTCAGTCGACTCAGTCGACCTCGATCAGCCGATGCTTTAGATTTTACGGTCGGGCGTACAGGCACATGCCTCCCACCTGTCATGTTCAGGACTTGTTCGATGAACAACTTTCCAAGCCTTTCCAGCATGCTCGACCAAGTTAAGTGGTTAGGCAGGTGACTCCAACATTTACTCCGGAATCTGAGCCTCTTCCCACCACAGGTCACGAGTCACCTTTGTTCGCAGCTTTCGGGACACCACCGTGTGTTTGCCGAAAGTGTCTGGCTTCCGAACCTTGCCTTGACTTGAGGGTGTTTTGTCCTTTCCCAGAGGGGTTCCATGCTCATGTGACCGTCATTGATAACACCCTCCGGATGACCCGCTTGTGGGGAAGTACAGTGGAGCTACTGTCCCAGCCGCAACACTCGCCCCATTCCGGCAAGAATCACGTTGGTTGTAAAGGCAGCTTCCGGGCTTGATTCAGGAACCAGCGTAGAGTGTGGAGCTAAAGCTGTCAACCCTCTGGCGGCATACGATCGGTAGACCAAGTCTTCGGTAGAATATTCGGTGTCGGATGCTGCCCAAGGCAGAGCCCTCTTCATAGCCCTCTGACCGCACTGCGAGCGTCTTGAGTTTCGGGGTTGAAGTTTTGGTGTTGCGCTTTGTGCGATTCTGCACTGTCTTGGGAGCTGTGTCAGTCTGAGAAAGGGCAGCAGGTGTGCGCGAAGAAGACGGGCACATGTAGTCGGAGGCTGAAAGCGTGAACCGTGACATGTCACTCGAGCCTGGTGCCTTTGCAAGTTGTGGTGCCATAGCCTGGCCATGGTGCTCAGATCCTCAACGAGCCGAACTCTTCATTGCTGTCGCTGGTGTTGTCTTACCTCAGCTTCGCGATGATCATCGTGACCACGGTGTCGTTGGTGCTAGACTCTTGCATGCACTGTAGTGTTTTGGAAGGCACCTGTGTACACCTGCAAAGGGGAGCGTGCGGACGCAGACTCCGGTCCTTTACCGGGAGTAGCTCAACACACCACCGACAGAAATTCCTATTCTGCCGAGCATTGGCTTGATCTCTCCTAAATTAAATTTGCTTGAAACGTCTCAGATCCTGCCAGATCTTGCTCTGCCGCCAGGGACACTGCAGCTGCGAAGGTTTGCCTGCGCTTCCTCTGCAACCGGCTGGGCACAAACTAAGTCGAGACCTGTGTCGGAACAGGAGTGAAACTTTAGTGATACAGACATGTCCTCGGGGAGGAAACGGGCTTTGCCGGAAAGACTCTCGACATCCGAGGAGTCGATGCCATTGTTCAACTATACTCCCGACAACTGTGGAGACCCGGAGATCAGTCTTCCGGCCTGCCAGATCTGATGGGTTTAGGGGTTCAGTGCTTAGAGGGTTCAGACTTTTTGCGTATAGCACGTAGAGGGCCGGGAAGGCTTTGTGCTTTCGAGAGGCTCAGGCGATCAGTCCATTTCTAAGTGAATTCTCACACCAGAATGAGCCAGCTGCCAAGAGAAAGGAGAGTAGCCTGGAGTCATGGGAGTCTCTTTGATCTGTAGATAGTTCCTGGGTATACCGATCAAGTAACAAATTCGAGGCTCCTCCAATTTTTGATGCGACATCCGGCTGTGTCAAAATTTCATGCAGGGTCCACGTCGGATCAACCTCTGAGGTGTTGAACTTTGCAAGCCGGTCCCCGACATTGCCTTCGAATACATCGAGGTCACAGGCCGCTGTAGAGACAATACTTGGAACATAATCCATGCAGCTAGACAGCGAACGCATAGACGTATGACTCTAGTTCTTTTTCTCCTTTTCGTCGGAAAAGTATTGAGTCTCTCGCATGGACTGGGAGCTTGCAGAATCGACAAGACAGGGAAACCCTCAACGGAACAGGCCTCTATCAAGGCTTCCATCAGTTGTGTACACTGTACACAGGGAGCACTGTGTGGTCACTCTGTGGCCAAATGTCTCCAGAGACTGACCAGTCAACAGCAACAATCTCGGCAGTCTTCTCCCAACGTAGTTTGTTTCAAGCACGTCGTGAAGGTCCTCACCATGGAGCAGCTCACCAGTTATTGCTTGATAATTAGTCGATGTTCTTCCAATGTTTATTTTTATTTATGTATGTTTTTCTCTTCACGAGCTCCGAAAACTTTCAGGTAAGCGATGGTACCGTAGTTGCGCTACGCGGGTGATGGGGCACCACTCACAAACTAGCATGTCTTCGCAAACTAGCATGTCTTGTCCGAGCTGCAGCACGACAGGATGCGGCACCGATAGTACATGCATCTTTGCGATGCGTCTGTCAGGCACTATCTTCTTCACCGCAGAATATGCCGCCGCCTCAGGTCAACTTGTAGGGCAGCTAAAGATGACAAACTCGACTGGAGGTGCGGAGGGCTCACACTTTAGGATGGTGTCTTAATCAAGTTCCGTAGGTATGTTTCTGGGTGTTTGCATCTGCCTCCTGCAGCAGATGCCCATCTTCATCTGTTGCTCAAGCTCGAATTTGTTTCCAGCAACAAATTCTCCTGAGACTCAGGCACTGCGCATCGCTACTGCGCATGCTGCAACGGAACAGGCTGTGCCTGTTTGGCAGTGCTTCTAGATACGCCTGGCATCAGCCCGGCTGGTTCCATACTAGTTGCAGCAAGCTGGTGCATGCACGCCTTGTTTTGCATGGTCACAACCGTCTACACGGTGTAAGTTTGAACACCAGACCACAAGTGCTAACATTGACCAAGTATCTTGTTCTCGCATGTCAGGAGCTGCACCTGTCAGAGGCGCGCAGGGGGCAGCTTAGAGTTTACCGAGCAAGTCTTCCCTACAGTCATGATTGCGATAACTAGCCTAGTTAGAGTGTTCTTAACCCCCCAGATTATCCGTCTTTTTAGACTTTGTTCCTCGAGTTCGGATGTTTGGACAGGGGTTCGGTTCGAGAAGTTTCCTGCTAGAGTTCAACAGCTGCCGACAATGACAGAAGATATGACAGCTAGCAGGCCTTCCTTTCGTAAGCCAGCCTGCTGGCAGCCAACATGGGGCCAAAATCGTTGAACGCGTTTGCCCGATTGTGTCCCATATCAAGTGCGTACTGAGTGAGCCGGCAAGCCTGCATCCAGGGAACAGTTCTTGTGTCCTGAGCTTCCCCGACGTTAGGGCCCTGAAGCCTGTGAGGAGGAGGATCCAGATGAGAAGTTGCCGGGATGGAAAAAGACCCTGAGGCCGTGGGAAGCAGTCAGTGCGATCTACAATGGGTCCCCTCCGACTGTTAAATCCCGGTTTGGCATACCATACTTGCCACATTCATTTGCCCATGCATGTTATTCCTTGAGCTCATCATCCTCACCGACCGCAGTCTCCAGACTTTCCTTCATGCCACTGCTTGGATCAGGTATGCCATGCAGTCGATGAACGTCATCGATGTGATGGCCATTGCAACATGGCTGTGTTCCGTTTCGGGGTACCTCCTTCAAGTTTGAAGTGGTCAGTAACGCGCAAGGTAGTGACCCAACAATAGAATTGTTCAGTCAAGCTAGCCGGGAAGTGTGAAGAAGCGGTACTTCTACTCTACAAATGTCAAAATTCTACCTGACGGCAGTTCGCGATTGTGACTGTGAGAAGATCCATCTTCCTCTTGGGCTGAAACGTTTGAATTTTAAAGCTGGAGTGCAGGGAGCGCCAGATGCATAGCTGATAGTTGCTGAGGTCCCCTTCTATCTTGAGTTCTTCGGAGCAGCAGGCAAGCCTGCAAAAGCTCAAAGCACAACCTGTCAGCTTTGTCACTGCGACATTTGCGGAATGTTCGGCAGCCAGTGTACTCTGTCCTTCCTGCGAAAATTCGTGCTTCTTGCCTGGCTGGACTATGCAGCATGAAAGGTGGGTGGGCAGCTGTTCTTCGCGTGCTGCGGTTAGTCCGAGTTTTTAGAGTCCTGAAGCTTGGACTGAGATTCAGCACGGCCGTGATTTCTTCAGACCTGCTCAGAGTAATGAGGTGTGCAGTCCATGTTCGTTGCAGATTCGGAAGGAGCAGCCCGAGCCAGGGCAGTCGGCAGATGTGAGTTTAGGCTTATGCCAGCACTGATCCGTGAGAAGGGATGCTGTGCCCTATCTAAGTCTGAATTATGGGGCAGAGTTTGGGATGCGACCCGTGAGCTGTGTGTATCTGATGGTTTACGCAAGGAAGTCGCCGAAAATGCGTGCATGCCCCTCGGCGGTGTTAGTTCTGGCCCAAGAAACTCCAGCCTGAAGCCCTCAATCCGCCCCTTGCTGCCTAATATAGGGTCCTTTATAGCGTCCATGTGTAATATTCTACCATGCATGTAACAGATTACCCAACACTCAACTCCAATTTTTGAGGCGCCTGTATAACCCCTCCTAAGCCTTCAAAGACTAGGGGTACTCGGATGTCCTTGGCCTCGCTTACGCATTGCTGAGCACTGCCTTGCTTCAGTTTTCTGGACCCAGCGTCAAGTATCCCCTTATGGATCCAGTAGGACATATTGTAAGCGTATGAGAAGATGCCCTTATATTAAGGAGTCAGGATCTGCCCACTTTCTTGGCCCTTTGCTAGAGTCGATGAACGTCAACCTTGAGGACTCGACTTGTTAAAACGGGCTGTCGGAGTTTGGTTTCAAGCTTTTTTCTTTCGTGCTTTTTCGGCTCGATTTTACAAGTTACAAGAAGTTAACTTCGGTCGCAAGCTGACAACGACGGGTGCTTTTTGGTTCGGGAAGTCTCCAGCCCACGTGCGAAGGGTCCAAGATAGAGCAGTGCACGACAAAGTCTTTGAGACGTGAGGTGTGGACATGATCCTTTGCATCGCCACTTGTCTTGATTTCAGATGCACGTGCAGCCATCGCATGTTTGTTTTGCCGAGTGTTCGTGGATGGATTGCACGAAAACTGACCCATGCTCGGGCTGCCCTGACATACGTAACATGTCGGCGCCACTGCTTGTATGAAACATGTCTATAGAACACGAAGATAGATACATGATATGCAAAGAATTGTTCATAAGCACTCATGTCTTGGAGCCTGAGCCGTGTCCTTGCACGCTATTTACTGCTCCAGGTCTTTCGGGAATGGGGGCCTCCCGGGTAAAGGCAGGTGGAGGTGGAGGCTCACAGTCTGGCACACTGTAGGGTTTTAGGTTTATATATAGGGTTTAGGGTTTATAGGGTTTAGGGCTTAGGGTTTTGGAAGGAAGTGCTCCGAAAGCCAAGCCGAAAGCTTTGAGGTCGCCGAGGCCCTGCCTGGCATCGCATCGGTCTTCTCACTCACCTGCCGCTTGCCCGCGACACGGGGGGGAATGGGGGCCTCTCCTACATTGTGTATGGGACTTCCGTGGGCAAGGTCTTTGGAAGGGCACCAGGCATCCCAGTCAGAGTTCAGCGCTTTGGACAGGGCGGGACAGAGGGCACTTGCCAAGCTCGTTGACTTCCGCTGATCAGCAGTTGTGCGTTTGGTTTGCATGGGTGACTGGCTATTGCGGCGAATGATCGGGAGTATTTTCAGGAGCTCCTGCCGCTCTGTGAAAGGTCAGATAGCTTGTGGCGGTTGTACTTGGTTCGTCGGCCTTGTCTTGAATCTCGTAGATCATCTCTGTGTAACCCGCATGATGGTAATCTCCAGACTTGCCACCCAGGTTTGGTTTGCGTGATGTTCGCATCCTTCTTGTTCTTCGCAGAAGGCCGGCAGCATGAACACACGACGTGACAGGAAGATGAGTACGCATCATTTGTGGAGTGCTGGTCGTCAGTTTACATTGGCGTTTCGCACAAACTGCCTGATAGTCCAGTCGGAATTCAGTCTTCCCCGTTTTGAGGATCAGGTTTTATGAGCTTAGGGGCATGTGTCGAAGAGAGGCCACGTCCAGAAGATTATGGATTTACTTGTAAAAAGATCTTTCAGCAGCGGCCTGCTTGATTGAGCTTGTCGTTCTGCATGCGAGCCACTGAGCACCGGTTCCGGTGCGTGCCGGCAACATTGCGAGCATGAGTGTGTATGTGAGGAACGACGTACTCCGTCACACATCGACCTGACCTTTATCCACTGGGTGTGTGGCCTGACATCTCTAGAGTTTTCTTGCTGGCTGAACTATCATTGTTCAGGTTGGGATTGAGGGGGATGTTTCGTCGTGTGCCCGGATGAAGATACGGCTCATGCTGTTGAGGGGTTTGCCCGAACTTGACGTTGTCGGCCGGTGCCCCACGGCCTGGAACCGGAAACAAGTGGTGACTTCTGTGTCGCAGTGCGTAGAGCTGGCCCCGCCGCTCAGCTGGCCAGACGTTGGCTTAAAGACAGGCTTTCGTTGGGAGGATGTTGCGTGGCGGATTCCGCAGTTCGCTGTGACTTGGAGGAACCTTCCAATGGTTGCTTCTTGATGCCACATGGTATAGCGGGAGTCGTTTCAAGCCTCCAAGCTCAAGCTGTACTGAGTCCAACAAACGCATAGATCCGGCAAGGTATATTCGGCCGACTGCGAATGGCCTTGGCTTCGAACCAACGCCGTTCAAGTCTATCCTCCACACTTTCTGGTGGATGCTTGGCATGAAAAGTGCCCCGAAGAAGCTTTCTAGGGCCATTCTAGGCTGTTGCTTGCTTTGGATTCAACCCACATCTGTGGCCGCTTGTCAAACAGTATTTCGTTTCACTGCGCAAAGGGTTCGACACCGAGCTTGGACATGCGGTGAGGCGTTGCTTTCAACTTGTCCTCGATGTGTTGCATCATCCAGAAGACAAGGTAATCTAATGGAAGCTTAAAGGCTTAAAGCTCGAAGCCAATTATCAGCTTACTTTGTTTGCAGCATCGTCGCGTGTAACATCAATTATAGCTCCTGGATGCTGCCCCCAGGTTCTTTGCGACTGCCTCTCGGCTCCAACCAAGTAGATCCGAGAAGACAGGTTGTTGGTGGTTGTAGTTCCTAGTCTTGAGAAGCGGGTCGAGTTTGCAATTTTCTCGCTAATGCTGTTGACAGAAGACACATTCGCCTGTGCTCGTAGTTCTGTGGGGCCGGTTGTGTGCAATGTTGACAGAGGGCATCATCTCCAGAGCAAGATGGTGGCACGGCGTGATCATCCCGTCTTTACATATCAACGAAACATGTCATGTGATTTCGCTGCATGCCCGCATACGGGCAGTAGTTTCTGCAGTACTGCATGGCCCACCAATGTCAAGACTGAAACGCAAGGCGACAACCGTGGGCTATGGAGACCACGTTCCCACGACAACAGCTGGGAAGCTTATCTCCATTGCTGTTTTCTATATAGGCATTGCTGCTTGGCTGCAATAAGGGCAGCCGAATGACATGGAAGGAAGACAGGGGTGGGAATTCTGGGAAAGGCCGCAGTAAAGTCTCGGAGCATGTCTGTCTACGACAGCTCTCGCAAAGTGGCAGGCGCAGCACAGGACCCGGGGGCTCAGGGGCAGATTAATTATGTCGGTCGGCAGCATCCTAGAGTTAGACGTGATGATAAGGGTGATGCTCACTCGCTGAAGGTAAGGGAGTGGATGCTGTCTAACAGCTCCCGGCGGTCGAATGTCGCATGATTCATTTAATGCATCACGTAGTCTTTTCGTTAGTTTGCAACTCTCCGAGGTATTGGTGGCCATCAAACTCACGATCGTCCAAGGATCGTTTCGGCGGCATTACCCGCAGCTTGGAAGCGACTGGTCACCTTTCGGAGCTTCGGAAGACTCTTATCATACGCGGCTCGAATTGTCGACTTTTGATTGAGTGCAGAGCTCATGTTCTACGAACTAGCTCCGTGGTCCCAGTAACTTGAGCATGCGCAACGAGTGATGGTCTTGTTCCAATCAGCTCGATGCTCCAGTCTGCCTGGTGGGGTTTGGCTGTCACTGTCGGCAGCCGTAGTTTGTCGAATAAATTTGGATGTTTTGGGCTAGGAGGACCGGTTTCGCCGACACGGCCACCACCTATTCACTACAGCTCATGCTCGCGGCTCCATGACTTTTCCTTTTCGGTTCAGCTGAGGAAGTGGCGCTTGCACACATAGCCCTGGGAGGGCTGCTGGCCCAGGGCAAACTCGCAAGAAGACCGACGTCCGGTAGACACACCGACCTCGGTGTTCTTCTGGGGCAGGCACCAGAGACTGTATGATATGCTTTGTCATTGCTGTTTGCTCTTGTGCCGTCAAGAAGGCATCGAACAACTACACTCAACCCTAAACCCTAAATTTGCGCCTCGCCCTCAGTTCCTTTGCGAGGCGATCGCTCAGTGGGAAGCCGCCCTTGCTTGAGATGGAGCCGAATGGGGTTGCGGCCTAACCTGACCCACCCTCGTATACTCAGCAGTTGAAGAACCGTGTAGTATTCTAGTACACAAGATGCTTGGCACTGTCTAGCTCAAAATCAACACCCTTGCCAGACCCGGGCAATTCACTATGCATCCGGCAACCGCAACGGATGAGAAACGATGGTAGAAAGCGTTTCACTCCCCGAAGCGCGCCGTCCACAAACGCCTGGCCTTGCATGTCAAAGTCTACCTATACCCACATACTGCCATGGATTTTAAGCTGGATTTAGCCACGGTGGCTGATCGAGAAGACACTTGGCTTGAAGCCACAACAAGAACAACACGTCAATGCGTTGCGAGTCTGTTTCTCCTTCGCTGCCCTTCCCAAGCTATCTTCTCTTCTCACTGTGACCACCTGAGCAACTGTAGCAGATCTGTGACCGGAAGCAAAGCTCATTCTATTGGGACAGTTTTTATGGAGGGGGTAATTAGCCACTTTGCGCCGGTAGCTACAGCGAATGCTCCCTCGGAAACAACCACAACAACCGCAACAACAACAACGCAGGGCATCGAGCGCTTCGGAACTGCATGTGTTCAGCGATGGCTGTTACCCACGAATTTGTACAGCTGCAGATTCGTCGGGTGTCTGCTCTGGCGCAGGCCCGACACGAGCTACCGAGATTGTCGAAGACACCTGCAATCCGTATCGCTCGGACTACGGCAAAACCGGGCAGTCATGCCAGAAATCCAGCGTCCCAAGGACGGATGGGCGAGTAAGAGAGGATCAGTTGCAGCTCTGAGAGCTGACTCTCCCTGGGATGACATTCTCAATCGCAAGAGGCCGCCCACAACGTCGCAGAACTTTGAGATAGTCACCCACGGTGTACGTGTATAATAGCCCAAACCCTATTCTCCTGATCATGAAGCTCCTATCTTGGAGTAGGCTCGCTTTTGAGAACGTCCCATGGCAGATTCTCCTAGCTAGGGTTTCACCTCGTCAGATGATGTGTCGACAACTGCCAATAGAAAGAAACAAACCAAAGGCCGCATGCAGGCCTTAAAAGAATCCCATGACTGGATCATGTTGAACACGAGTGTGAGTGCAAACCTCCACTATTGTTTCTGCATTTGAGTCTCGCGGCGTGATGTTACGCAATACTTCCCGTGAAGGAGAGACCTGGACACAATCGATCCGTACATATGCGCACAGACTGAACGTAGCCTCGTACTTTCTCAACATCGCTCCCTCTTGTCTAAGTTTGTCCTTGCCAGACTTGCAAGCCGCAGCAGCTCGAACTTGACATGACGTTCCCGCGCGAAGCAGTTCTATCAACTTTCGAATTTCTGCACTGGATGATGCCTACGTTTGGCAGATCTTCACATCAAGAACCCGGATGATGAGTCATGGAGTGGACTCCAGCACATACTGTACCCGGCAGCCCCATTTACGAAAATCATCGGGGTCAGAGACCGAGCCCTGCAAAAAGTGCCATCAGTGAAATGCTGATGAGGATAGTAAGTAGTAGCAGTTATAGTCTGCTTGAATTACCAACCCTCCTATGTACTGGAGTCTGCAGGCACAGACATTCGCACCACCGTAAAGCAAAAGGCACCATCCGCATGCCTGCCGGGCTCAAGGTTGAAGATGTCAGGCGTTGTTTTTTGGCATCAAATCAGAGAGACCGTATGATATCATATAGGGTATTATTCTATACGGTACAATACTATACTATACTATACTAGACTATACTATACTTTTTGCGGTAGTATACATCGCATGCTAGACCATGCTCGACTACGCTAGGCAGTGATAGACTATGCGATACTGTGCTATACTATGCTGCACTGTGCTATGTCTAAGGCCATGCTGCACTACGTCATACTATTCTATCCTCTGCCATGCGATGCTGTACTCTACTATACTGTACTAAAGTAGACTACACTACTACACAAAAGTATAATGCTATTGCATACTATAGTATATGGTACTGTACGATACTAACTAGACCATACTTCATTATACTTTGTACTGAAGTGTATACTGCCCATATACTGTATACTATATACTACACCATCTTATGGTATACTAAATACTATCTTATGACTCCAGGATTGTATTACGTATATTGTCACATGGCATCTCGCTGGCTCAGGGATGTACTCTGACATGTCATGACGCGCAGGATTATCAGTAACGACCACAGGGAGCGAAGGACGGCAAAGTCATATGTCTGACTTCTGACACCCAAGAAAACTTGGAGGAAGTGTAAGCAGCTGTTTTAGACGACCCGGGTGATCCTAAATCCCAGACCGCTTCCAACTACAGGCCTTGACCCTGGAATCTGTGATCCTGCGAGGTCCTTGAGGCCCTGCGGGTGGCAATTTATCCGGTCATTCGCCCCAGCTTGTTCCGTTGATGGGGGCGGGCAGTCTGGTGTTTTGTTCCAGATTTTAGACTGGCTGCTGGGACAGTTCGGCACAAGGGAGTTGCTGACCGCCTTGCTCGTCATCGATTGCACTTCCATGCAAAATCGCATGATGTAGGTGTGAAGGCTTCGGGCTGAGATTGCCATAGCTGGACTTCTTGTCACAGGGATGCTGTACTGTTCGGCCGTGCACGGCCCATCTAATATGTCGGCAGCGCTGCAGACTTATCTATAGAACACCCTGGAGGACGCGACACTGCAGAACATGTGCACACGAGTCATCACGGGTCTGTGTGTCTATGTCTGGTTTGTCTGTTTGTCTACATGTCTCTGTGCATGTATGTATGTATGTATGTATGTATGTATGTATGTATCTGTGTATGTATCTGTGTATGTATGTATGTATGTATGTATATGTATGTATGCATGCATGGGCTGGTCTGGTGTGATGTGGTGTGGCCGTAGGGTGGTATGGACTGGCATGGTCTTGTAAGGTATGGTATGGTCAGCTAGGCAGGTGGGAAGAGAGCCTGCTGCCTTATGCCACAGCCTGGTTCGAGCGACGGCGATGGTAATGATGTTGATGCTCACCTTGCTGCATGTTCCGGATTCCCACGTAATGTGTGTAAGTATGTGTTATAATTAACTGTAATGTAATGTATACTACATGTATACTACCTATAGCAAGAAAGTCCTGGCCACTGGCCGAGGCGCGGCTTGAAGTGAGCTGGGCGCTCTTCGACGCGCCTGGGCAGCAAGACCGGCTCGAGCGCTCCGAAGAACCCTAAAGCCAAGAGCCACTCCCTGACTTCACGCAACATTCTCCTCAAGGTGTTTAGGTTGGCAGTCCCGTTGGGCCAGGGACCGTCGCGGCTTAGAGTTCAAAGGGTGGAGGTCTTCCGTTTCAGAGCTTGGTCTACCAGTGGCAAATGAAAACCTCGGGCTTGGGTTGGCGAGGGTTCAGAGAGTGGGCAGCTGTAGATACCGCGAGAAGAAGCGGAGAATCCAGTCTTAAATGTTCCGTTTGAACATCATCATGTGCCATTTTGACACCAAGAATCGCTTGGTCTCCAAGCTCTTGCGAGGGACTTTCGGAAGGCTGCAGTGTACTTGCTACAGGCGCGAGTCGATGGAGAAGCCGAGGTGCCGCGGTTGGCAAGCTTCGTGAATTTTGGATCTGGGGCTTCTGGGCTTAGGGCATCGTGCTAGTCGTTGAGAAAACTTTGCTCCGGGGCACATCGAGGCGAGCTGCAACACGCTGGTTGCACCACAGTGAGTCAGAACGGCGCAGGGTCAAGTCTAAGATTTCGGGTTCGAGATTCTGACGCTGCCTCGATCAGGAACGGAAGTGTCGATGCGGGCCGCACTGCAAGCCTGCCGTTTTGGCAACAAGCCGGCAACAGCATCATATAAAGTTCCGTGAATATGGGAAACACTCTGACTCTAGGCACAATAAGCTCGATAAAATTGGCAAGACAAGCGACAAGAGCGACAATAGCCAATGCAGACCCACCCGTTGCTCTTTGTATGCGCATGCCTGCCATGAACTGGCATGCACGCCAGGCCGTAGCGAGAGGGCAAGCATCACTGTGGGCACCTCAGTGTCTATCAGTTTGCTCACCTCTACGCGTGTAGCTATATGTGTGTGTGTCAATCCTAGTGTACATCTTGAGCCCTTCTAATCTCTCGAGCAGCCACACTCGCCACTCGCCCACTCTGGCCGAGGGCTTGCTACAGTGCCAGCGAGGCAGAATCGTTGGTCGTCGCGGCCTCGATCCTGCCATCCGGCACCCTCTAGATGGTCTAGCATGTCAAAGGCTCCTAGTTCTATGCCTGCGTATCTATACGTTCAGTAGTTAGTCTACTTCGAAACAAAAAGACGTGTTCGATTCAGCGTCCACGTGGCTTGAAGAGTTCGGGAGGCCTCATGGGGCTACACAAGAAGACTGGGCCTATCCCAAATCGTGAACTCAACTGAGCGCCTAGATCCTGAATCCTGCTGGTACACCTGTAACAGTCATGGAGACACAGCCGCCTGGGGCTTGACACTATAAACAGTCGTATCGCATGATGCAACAAAGCGACTTTGTCGGCCTGTGTGTGGGGGCAGGCTTGGATCAAAGCTGTCCTTGCTTGTGTTGCAAGCTCCACGTAAGGCGGAGTGAAGTCGCTTGTCTGGTTGGAAGTCTCTTCCGCAACACAGCAGACCCGCATTTGCTGTCATTTCTCTGGGGATTGAAAGTTCAACACTTCTAAACTTCCAGCCCCTGCCCGAACCTGTTGCAAAGTCCTTGGCAAAAACCGAAGTTTGAAACCCAATGCACCACCGCAAACC